AAGATACTTTTGAATTTATTGACCACTTCGTTCGGTTGCTCGTTTGCTCTTCCGAAGAAAATTTTTGGATTACTCCTGTAATTGCTTTCACTTTGTTCAATTTTGTGTTTTTCCCATTGTCTTTTTTTTGTTCTCAAGGTCTTTTTTGCTTCTCGTTGCATCTTAGCCAATTGGATTTTATTTTCTTCCTTTGGATCTCTTAGCATTATGAGGCGGTTGGGTTGACCAAAAATATTGAGCTTATCTAATAAATTTATTATTAATGGTATTTATAAAATTTCCTGACTGCACATTAATCTTAACAATAAAACTTTTTAATTCTTATACAATTTTCTATTTAATAATGTCAATTTCTCAAACTTGCAAGTTGAACTAAAAGGTATGGTAACAAATTCAACTTTTTTATATTATAAACTTTCAAAAAAATCAACTTTAAAGGATTAAAAAATATTTTTGATTAAAAATCAAAATCAGTAATAATTTGAAAACAATTTTTTTTTTTTGTTTTAATTATTTTTTTACACGTAAATATTTATTTTTTACTAATTAGTAATGATCTCTAAATTATAAGTGATAAAAAATGTGTAATTTAGATTTGAAAGCAGGGCGGAAAGTTGATTTAGAAAAGTATATTTTTGCGTCTAATAAGAGTTCCCTGTAGACCAGTATATTTCTTCATAAGTAACAAAAAAAATTTATTGAAAAGTATTAAATCAACGCTTTTAAATTTTTATACACGTTAAAAGTAAAGAAATATACAACTACTATTTTTATAATTTCTACGTATAAAATAAAATATTAAATTATTGAATACCAATTTCATACTAAATTTAATTACTATATTTAGTATTTATTCATATATTATATTTTTTATTCAAAGAACCACTAATCAGAGTGTAATTAATGAAATATGAGTTGATGTTGCTTTTGTAATTATTCATCATTATCAGATATCATCTATACTTGTCCCATCTATGCCACGTTTTTTTAAAAATTATTTTATAAATCCAACCAAACTTAAAATTTTTATTGAATACTGAAAATTTACTGTAAATTTTTTTATTAGGTAGTTAGTTTAGAGCTTAATGTCTTTGATCTAAAGAACATTGTACTGGCGGACAGCGCAAAGACACTTACAAATATATTTTTAGTGTTTAATTTTTTTCTTGGTGATTATTGTGCCGCATCTTTTCAAGGCGTTAGCACCGAGACACATTGGGCTACGACATTTGGTTTTTCCAAATGATTAAGTGATTAAGTGTAAATTAATTAAGTGGTTAAATTGGAAAGAAGCGTTTGGAGTTTTATGAGAAAAATTCCAATGAGACAGTAAGGTAAATTCTAGTGTAACCAGCTTGATGTATGGTTCAGAGTGTTGGGCTGTTGACAAAATAGTGAGAAGATAATGAATGTAGCATAGATGAGAATGCGTAGATGGATAAGTGAAGTGGCTAGAAAAGATTATTGAGGAAGTATAGTTGTAGCGTCAATCGTGATTAAGATAAGATAAAATATTCTTAGATGGTTTGGTCGTGTTATGAGGAAGCTGTAAGAAAAGTTATAGAAATTAATGTTGAAGGAATAAAAGGTAGAAGGATACTAAAAAATATATGAAGGAATGTTATTGAATGCGATATGTGAATTTTTCAGGATATCTCCATTTACGGGGAAATTGGAAATTTTTCGAAGTTTGAGGGTAGTATATCCAACTAGATACGAACTTCTTTAACTGGCCCGATTTAATAAATATACACTAGAAGCAAAAACATTATTGTTCCCCCAGTAAGTACACATTTTTGTATTTGATAATAAATAATGTATGTATATTTTTAAAATATGTGATTAATATAATCATTAGAAAATATTATTATTATAAAATCATCTACAACATTGCCTATCGATCCAAAACATCGTTGAACTCTTTGCTGCCCTCGAGCGTAAAATTCAGACACACGCATTTTATTTGATTATATTTAACGTTCTCTCTTAAAAGCTATTACTTGTAACAGCAAGAGAGTAATACAGTAACACATTTTAATACATGTAATAACTAATACATATGCTCAATAAAAATATATCTCCAAAACAGTGTTCCCCTGGATAATAAACAAAAAATAAGTCAGATCAAACATTTTTCAAGACAAAAGTTATAAGTCGTTTAATATTGTTTAATTTTATATAAAAAAATTGAAATCGGTAGAAATGAAATTAAAGATAATTAAAATAACGAAAACACATTTTTGCGGCACATGAAAAACGCTAATTTTGCAATAACTCTAAAACTGTTGTACTTATTGTAATTTGAACTTCATTTCTGGATTCGACGAAAGATTTTACATAAAATATGACTATCATAAGTCAGAATTTTTTTTTTATATGTATACTAGTAATACTATATTATAATATTACGATTATAATATTAATACTTCTGTATTAAAAAACATTGATAGTATTCATTTGGTTTTAATAATAACTAATAATATTACCTGTACAACTTATTTATATAAAAGAGATTTTAATTTTTAATATAATTTTAATAAAGCTGATTTTAATGATTTGTCAAGATTTTTTAACTGCGTAAATGGAATAAATTGTTTGAAATGAAAAACTTTGAACAAGCTCTAAGTAAATTCCACATAAATGATTAATGAAGGCTTTCAAAATTTCGTTCCATTTTCTAATAAAAATAGTACAAATTTTCCTTAATAGTGTAATCCGTTGTTTGCATGACTTCAATAATATTTATTTAAACGTATTCAACAAGTTAAATACACACACAGCATATTTGATGAGTTATCTGGTGTTCTATCTCCAATATTATTTTTAATTTTAATTACTGAGAAAGGTACAACTTTTCGTCATAGCAACTATGTAGCATTTGCTGATGATCTATAAAATCTATATCATTTTATTAAGATTGTATGTTACTCCAAAATGAATTTTTCTGTTTGGTGTTACAATAAAAGTTAAGACATCAATGTAAAAAATCTAAATAAATATCTTTTTATCTTCATAAAAATTCATTTGAGTTCCTGTATATTATCCTGAATGTTATTAAAGATCTAGATATATTTATATACACGACTTATTGTTTAATGTATACATAGAATACATTTTTAATATAGCTTTATAAACCTAGGTTTCATTAAACATAATTGTCAAATGTTTCTTTATGCCTTAAAGTATTATATTACTCTTTGGTTCGTCCAGGAAATGAGTTTGGTTCAACGGCATAGAATTCTAATTAAATATCATTAAATATTATATTGGATAATACATTTTTATACTTCTTAATATATAATATTAAAATGTTAGATAAAACTTTGAATGAAATAGCTAGGTTATATAATTTATAACATTTGTCATTACAGCAAGAATATTTTTATGTTTCATTTTTATTAAAAATAATAAATAATAAGATTGATTGTCCTATGATTTTTTAATTATTGTATTATCATTTATGTCTATTTATTTGTCTACACTATAGTCCTTGTAGACATTACTTATTAATAAATAAAGAAATATCAGTATTTTATTTATTGGAATAATTAATATATTACATACTCTACACATTATAAAAAACTATACGATTATATTGCATAGTGTATATTGTTTATTGAAGAGCCAGACCTGGATGGACAGAGTACTAGCACAATTATATCATAATTAAAATTTTATTTAACCATAGATTAACCAAAATGTTTCTCCACTTGTCAACAAGCTAGTCTGATCCTAGTTATTTTTCAAAAGGGAATACCGTGGGAACTGGAGTGTAGTACACTAGTACAATCTATTACACAAAGAACTTAAATTAAGCTTGCATCTACTTTAGATTACTCCGCGATGGCTCAAATGACGTAGGCCACTTATCAATAGTTTATTGTACAGGACATCAATTATTAGGTTTTAAATGTGTTAGTATAAAATACTACACAGAAGGTCCGAGAGTAGATCATATATATACACAAATGGGGTTTACATAAAATCTAAATTATTAAATTCGATTCTAACTTAGGGTAAATTTAATATAAAATTGTTCAAAGAAATTGTTTTACGCAAATTAATATGAAAAATAATAATCGTGTCATTTTAAGCGAGTATTTGGACATATATGCCTATATATTATTAATAGTGACATCAAATACAAAAGTCATCGCAACCAAATATTTGTCTTACCAGGATAATTGGAGGTAATTGAAAACATTTAATTGTTTATTAAATCTATAATAATGCCTTCACCGAAACATTTTTTAAGTAATATATAATTAGAGTAAAGTAGGTCATCGGAAATGAACTGACTTAAGTCGTATAATACACGATATTCACAGATCAAATAAATACATTTGTATAATGTTTATATGTAGAAGCCAAGTTGTGACCTTTGGTTACCCTATTATCCTATATTCATATATATAATATATATATCAGATGTGCTTCTGTATAAACATATACCCCGAGATCCTTTCACTTTTAGACTTATTGTCGGTGATCATTTACCAACACCGCTGTGCCACATGTTATCTTTCTCTTTGTTTAATACAATTAAACTTATCAATCGCAATAGAATCGAAACCTGTTACTTACGTACCTAGGCACAATGCGTTACCAACTAAGTTAATGAGGCCATAATACTTTTGATTTTAATTACAAAATATTGCCATTATTGTGTCAGAATTGAAAATTAAAGTTTTTTTTTATTAAAAAATAAGTAAATTGTGCATAGTTCACATTTTGAATTACTACTTGTAACCAACAGTTACAAGCAAGGGTCTTAAAATGAACTTAATTTATGTTTCAAAAATAGTCATATACCAATTTATTGTTGAACTGATATATATAGAATTTCTTATAAGTAGTTTGATTATTTAAAATTTTTATGAAAAAGTCGCCAACCGCTTCGAAATTATATAACGGACAATGGGAGATAGAATCTAAAGATTGTGGCCCAATCTTAATCTAGATAAATTGTAAATAGATTATTTTTATAAAAAAACAATTACTTGTATCTTTATCTGTAAGTGTAAATACAAATGATGTTACTTTGTTGCACTCTGATCGACTTTCTAGGAAGGAAGTACAACCTTCTGGTTGACAGAAAAATGACATAGTTTCAGGTAGAATGAAGTCTTCATGATCATTTGAAGGATATCTTCGTAGTACCTCAGGGTTCTAAAAAAGCCATTAAATATATATAATTAAATAAGATCAGTAAAATATATAACAGCTTAAAATGTACAAGATATAATAAAAGCTGAGATACCATAAATGAATTTAAAGAATTTCTAAAATAAAATTACATTTTTCAGGGGAGAAAAAACAAATTTTTAATTTTAACAATTCTTGAATTATTACACAGGTTTATTCAAAATCGACATGTAGACTTTCTTGATTTTTAAAAATTGAAGTATTATTATATATATGCATATGTATACTTCATACATAAATACATGATTAATACATAATAATGTATATAAATACATTAAAATTAATGTTTATGACCTGAGCTTTTTTCCAAAGTTTTGGAACGTATTCAGTTCGTAAAATTGCATTGAAGATGTATGTAAGATAAATAATCGCCTTCTTAGGCAATTCTTTTATCATTCTCAGGATGATTTCATGTTTGTTGTGATAATTTTTTTTTTTTTTGTGTCTGTTACCACTTTTTCTCAACTCTCACCAAACCGATTTCTTTCAACGATACGTCAAAAAATCACAAATCGTATCTAGTCAAAGACATTACCCTCAAAAATTGAAAAAATTTCTCTCGTTCCTCGTAAATGGGGGAAACCTCCAAAAAAATTACAAATTTAAAAATCGCTAATTTTCAAATCAATATAATTTTTGTTTTAATAGATGCATAATGTCTTTACCTAACATTTGATGTATTTTTTTTATAAATTTGACCCTTTTCCTGCCCACAGGGGGGCATTCAAAATGACAACTTTTCACAAAAAATTAATTTTTTCAGCTTAACTTTTTCAAGTGTTCCGAAAACACTGACACTGTGATATATATCTTAAATTAAAGCTAATGTAATGCACTTTATTATGGAAAAAAAAAAATTCGGACTTTATTTTTTCTTCACGGTGAAGATGGCTACTATATGCTATTTTTATGTTAAAATTCTCGATTTTATTTTTAAAATTTTTAACTTTATAATGTTATAACTTTTTGAAAAATGTATGGATCAACACAATTTTTTTATGAGAAATAATATTTTTTAAGGAAATAACAGATCATGTAACTTTTGGAATAATCCACCATTTTTTAAAAATTAAACACTATCTAAAGATTTGTATCGAAGCGTTATTTTTTTATATTTGATCGAACTATGCCACGACCCTGGGTTTTTTTACTTAAAACTGCCATAAATTTTTTAAAAATGACCAAATCAATATAAAAAATTTTTGTATAGCTACATGAGACATTTACCTATCATTTTGTATATTTTTTTTATACATTTTACCCTTAACCTGCACACAAAGGGGGATTCAAAATGACAACTATTTTATTAAAAATTTACTTTTTCAACTTAACTTTTTGGGGTTTTTTTTTTTTTTGAACTTATAGTATATATTGTAAGATAATTTGACATATGTTTAAAGTATGTAGTATTTCCGGAACATTTTCAAAAGTTAGGTTGAAAAATACCTACTTTTTATACACATGTTTCAAGTTTTAAACTCCACCTGTATAAAGGAAAATAGTCCAATTATAAAAAAAAAAGTATGTCAAATGAAAGAAGTAATCATAAAGTGTTTATAAAAAAAATTGTATTGATCCACATATTTTTCAAAAAGTTAAAATAATTTAAAGTTGAAAATATAAAATCGAAAATTTTAACACAAAAATAGCAGGTTTTTAACTACGCGTAGAAGATAAGTCGACAGGACAAAATATTTTTTTCAATTCATAGTATGCAAAATAAGGTTTAATATAATATATGTTTAAAGGACGCAGTATTTCTGGAACATTTTCAAAATTTAAGTAAAATAATTTACTTTTGTAAAAAAGTTTTTATTTTAAATCCCCCATGTGAGCAAGTTAAGTGTTAGATTTTCAAAAAATGATATCAAATTAAAGGCAAATATCTAAGGTTTTAATATAAAAAACTCATGTTGATTTGTTAATTTTAAAAAAAATTTATGACAGTTTTAAGAAAAAAAAACCCAGCACAGGGGAGTCGTGGCACAGTAGTGACGTAGCATAGTTAGATCAAGTATAATGATATCTGACAATAATTAAAAAAATATCAAAAATGATATCAAAAAATTACGCTTCGATACAAATCGTTAGATAGTGTTTAATTTTAAAAAATTGGTGGATTATTCCAAAAGCTACATGATCTGCTAGTTCCTTATTAATATCTTGATTAAGATAAAGTATATCAAATGATAAAGGGATTATAAAAAAATATTATTTCTCACAAAAAAATTGTGTTGATCTATACACTTTTCAATTAGTTACAGCATTATAAAGTTAAAAATGTAAAAAATAAAATCGAAAATTTTCACACAAAAATAGTATTTGGTAGCCATTTTCACCGTGAAGACAAAATAAAGTCCGATTTTGTTTTTCCATAATAAAGTGCATTACATTAGCTTTAATTTAAGATATATATAAAAGTGTCAGACTTTTCGGTACACTTTCAAAAGTTAAGTTGAAAAAGTTAATTTTTTGTGAAAAAGTTGTTATTTTTAATCCCCACCTGTAGGCATATAAAGGGTCAAATTTATAAAAAAAATATACCAAATGATAGGTAATGATATCATGCATCTATCAAAAAAAAAATGTTGAAAAAGTTTCTTTGTTTTAAGTAAAACAAATTTCGAAAATTAGCTATTTTTTAATTTGTAATTTTTTTGGAGGTTTCCCTCATTTACGGGGAACAAGGGGAATTTTTTCAATTTTTGAGGGTAATGTCTTTGACTAGATACGATTTGTGATCTTTTGACCTATCATTGAAAGAAATCGGTTTGGTGAGAGTTGAGAAAAAGTGGTAACAAACACAAAAAAAAAACACATCATAGTAAAACCAACAACTTCTCAGCTTCGCATCGAAACTAAAATAACGATATTTACAGATTTTTAAAATTGTAATTTTTTTAGATATTTCACCCATTTACGAGGAACGAAGGACATTTTTTCAATTTTTGAGGGTAATGTCTTCTAATAGATACGATTTGTGATCTTTTGACATATCATTGAAAGAAATCGGTTCGGTTGGGACCGATTCTGGTTAACTTATTTCATAATGTGTATTATAAACAAGCAATCAATTACTTTTTTATTTTAATATTAGTATTCACCAAGTCAACTTTTTTTTTAATATCCTTGTCATTTTACATGTGGTATAATACCGATGATATATATTAACCTAGACTTGGTAGTGTATCTTCTGAGGATACACATATTTGCACAGTAATTAAATAATAATTATTGTTTTTCTTTTTGGCGGTGTGTATTGTACACTGCCCAAAATCACTCAAGAGATAATTATAAGTAGTTAAAAAAAATATTTTTGGGAGGTGAATTTCGTATTGGAAACTCCATTAGGATAATAACATGTTGCTTTTTTTTAATTTGTTTAACTATGTGTTATAGATACGGTTTTTTGATAATAACATTATAGACGGCAAAAATTTAATGATATATATTTTTTTGTAAATAGCATAATTTGTAAGATAAGTGACAAAAATCGAAAAACCACCCTTACTGTCGAATTTTAAACCCTCTATGGCATGTGTTAATTTCAACCAAATTTCGAATAAATTATTTTTTTACTTAATAAAAGGAAGTGTATTGAATGAATTTTTTCCAAAAAAACAATAGCCTATACAAAGGTTGGGTTGGGTTGGGTATTATATAAAATTAATGAAATGATTCAAGTGTGTTCTAATGGTGAAATTTTAAATTAGTGCTACTATTTTTTTTCATATGATCATAGCATAAATAGAATGAGTGATATCCTGGTAAGAATTTTATTATATCACCCAAATTAAACTGCAAAATTTATATAAATTTTGTTCAACCCCCCCCCCATCATTGCATACGCCAGTGTGTTTTGACATATTTATTTAGCTTCTAATCATAAATATATTGAATTCTGTACGTGTTTTATGTATATATTTATGAATGAACATTGTCTTCCACATAATATAGAACTTCTTCTGTTTTTTTTTTTCCTCGCCTTAATCCCAACTACTAAGGTCAGCCAACTTATTCTAAACTTCCACTTGACATGATCTCCTATTTGACCTACGCACACAACAGCCATCCTCACATTGCTTTCAAAAACATCTCTCCATCTCTTTTTTGGTCTTTCTCTACCCCTTTTTACTTCAACATTCGTTTCATAACTGTTCTTACAGTTTCCAATTCCTCTCTTCATAACATTCATAACAAAACCATCTATTCTATTTTTTTTCGTCTTGCTACATATTGTGAAACTCAATATTTATTATTAATGATGTATCTTAGAAGATGAATAGCCATAATTTAGACCTATATATGTGTAATTTTATTATATAAATTAATATTAAAATACTTTCATTAATTCTTCTTACTTTCTTTTGGTAAATTATAATTTTTTTTGTAATAATCAAAACGCCAAAGGGATACAAAGTTAGTTACTTTAACTACTTCATTACAAATCCTAGATGTAAATCTGATTTAGGAGGTCCAGGCAGTAATGCTGAAGATTTTTTTTCAAATTCTGATTCAGCTGATAAAATTTTTTCAATATGAATATAATAAAGTGAATATAATCAATATATTCCGATTGAAGTATGTGTTAACGTTTATTATAATTTATGAGTTCTGAGCAGTTTACTTTTCATTATACATGTGTTCTTGCTAGGAGTGTATTTAAAACTCATTTTATGGGAGAGAGTGACTTGTTTCTTTTTTATTTTTGTTAGCATGCTAATTTTTTTTAGAATTTTTTTTGTTGAAATGCAAAGTGATAAAAAAAAAGGTCTTTAGAACCATATTTTGTTAATATGGGGTTTAAAAAATATTAATACCGTTGGTTCAAGGCGGGATGACCGCTCCTAGTTATTACTTATTGTATCTTAATGTGTAACTGTTATATAGATATATGAACAGATTGCTATTATTGAATCATAGGATTTTGGAGTTTAATGCCAATATTTTCAGGATATTGATAAAGTTATGCCACTATCATTGATTTATAAACTTCTCGTAAATAAAATATGTTAATAGATATCAATATGATGCAAAAATTATTTATTTTTGACTAATAATGCTTAATATACAATAATGTTAGTTAAAATAATTTCCACTGACAAAATTAGGGCTACTTATTATGATTTATCACTTCTATTTTTAAAAAGAATTTACAATCCCTTATATTTTGAGAGCTTATCTTTAATTATTGACCAACCATTATGATGTAAAATTATTTTTTTATAGTAAAAATGTTTTATATTATTCATAATTCTTACAATATATGCTAAGTAACACATTATATCATTTTTTAAATTAAAAATTTTTTTTTTTTTAATTATAATGAAAAAAAATACTTAAATTTAAAAATACCTGTATATAAAAACTGCCATTGGTGTTTTTGTTACAATCACTGTTATATTGGTCGATGCTCGAATTATTTTGTAAATCATACAGTGTAGATCGTTTTAATGAAAAAGGATGAGCTCCAACAATTGTAATATAATCAACAAGTCGTGGACAAAAGTATCGATCCTCACTCATATCACGTTTTCTTAGTTAATTTTTATAATAAAAATCCAAAGAAGATTTGGTAGCTTTTTATTGTAATTCAATTTTATCACAGTTTAATAAATTTTATTTACAGTTATGAATAAATATTGCTCCAAAATAGGCGAAAAACTATTTGATTTATTAAATTTGACAAATATTGTCATGAGATCTTTAAAAGTTCTTTTTATTATGCATTATATCATAGTATTGCTATCATTTTAAACATTAAATAAATTTGTATATATAATATATATATATATATTTATGTGAAATATTTATGTTACGTTATTGAACATTTTTTTTTTATTAACTGTAATAAAATAAAAATAAAACGTTTGATAATTTTCCGAAGTGAAGTAGTAAATTATCGTTTTTGTCATGCTCAATTAAATTTTCTGTCGAAAAATAAGTTGATTGTAGATTATAGTCTGAAAATAAAAATATCTATCAAACATTTAATGCAAATATAATATAATATTTTAATAAAGTTGGCAGAGGTTTGAATCTTTCCATCTTTGCCCTACATAAAGATGAAAGTATAGAGTAGCCAAGGACTTGAAAGAACTCAGAGTAGAAAAGATAGATATCGATGGAAGCAAGTGGTTGTTGCGACAATTGGGCCTAAATGGCCTATAAAAGCCTCAAAAGAAGAAAGAATAAGAGGTTTGAATATAGTATTGTATAACATTATTAATACAACTAGAATAATAATCTATTTTTTTTTACATGCAATAACTCTAATTATTAGAATGTAAAAAATAAAGTCGTTAGCTTATAACAGACAATTATTGGACACTTTGTTCTGGAGAAGTGCTATAGAAAATACATATGATATATATGATAATTTTACAAAAATGCCGATATCGTCTAGAATTAAAATAACGTATTAATAAAATTAGGAATATTTAAATTAGTTTATTTTAACCAATATATAAAATATTTTTTAATATAAAAATGGTGTATAAGGTTATAGGGTATATTGGGAGACATATATTTTTTAAGACGAAATAAAAATTCTTTATTAGCTTAAATTGAAACTTAAAAATTAAGTTTTACATTCCTGAAAAATAAGAAATTGGTTAAACGCTTCTTTAATTCTATATCCTCAAATTTGTTAGTTTTAGAAAATTTTTAAGAACATAAAAAAAAAAAATTGAATGTTTAAATTTCAAAAAACAATCCTTCCTGTTAAATTTTTTTTTTTTTAGTGACACGAAAGAAAACATCATCCTTTATACAAATTATTAAAAATTTCAAATCAGTTTTTGGATATAAGCTACAAAATTTTATCTATTCATAAATTTAATTTTTGAAAATAGTGATACAAAATAAATAACAAACAAAAATGTATACAACAATTAAGTATTTATTGTACTTCAAAATTGTTGACGGATTTATTAATTAATTAAGGATTTTTTTTTGTAATATTTAGGGATTATAAGTTTAACAAGATTAAAATCGTGTTCTTTTAACGTAATGGTTATTTAAATTGGTCAAGTGAGAGCTGAGAAAAATGAACGACAGACACTTAAATAAACCATGTAGTAATATGCTTTAATTTTTATTCATATTAAAATATGAATAAGAATGTTCTTCTCGCAAGAGGAGACTACAGTGATAGGATCCTCGATATTCATTGAATAATTTGATTGAATGTTATTTATTATTATTCATTTTGAATAATTTTTTTCACCTCAATAAGAATTCAGAAAAAAATACAAAAAAAGGTTTTTTTGACTGGCGGTTTTTAGTATTAACAGACACACAAAAAAAATAATAAAAAATTAACACATCATAGTAAAATTAATAGCTTCTCAGCTTCGCATTGAAGCTAAAAGTAAAAAAAAATAATGAAAAATTACTGATTTTTAGAATTCTAATTTTTTTGGAGATTTCTTATTAAACGCCACCATGCTTGAGATATTCTCTTTATAATTTCCTTTTTGCATATCCCATCTGAGCTTATAGTGCTATCCAAATATATGAAATATTCTACTTATTCTATAATTTCATCGTCCTTTAATTGTATTCTTGTTCTTATGTTATTGTCTCTACTACATACTAGGACTATCGTCTTCTTTGCGTTCATTTTTATATGTACATCTTTTTTCATCGCTTATTACAATGTTCCTAAAATATTATTTAGATCTCTTTCATTTTCCGTTATTATTGTAATGTTGTCTACGAATTTCAGGATGTCTAGTCTTCAATTAGATACGAATTGTGATTAGTTGACGTATCGTTGTAAGAAAATCGGTTCAGTGAGAGCTGAGAAAAAGTGGCAACGGCCACAAAAAAAAAAAACTCATCATAGTAAAATTAATTCCTTCTCAGCTTTGCATCAAAGTTAAAACTCATTTTTTTTAAAACAGATTTCAATATTATTTTGATTACAAATTAAACAGTTTTGCAAGCTTAATATAAGTAAATAATAAATTTTAAATTAAATTATTGTTGCCTTATTTGATACAAGTAGCAAATTAACTATGTTTTCTTACTGTATTTTAAAATAATTGAAAATTCTACAAAAAATATACGTCTAAATATTTGCTGATAAAAAGTATAGATAATATTTACTTTCACAAATGAAAACTCAATTCATACTACTAATTTCCAAACTATATATATATATATATTTAATAAAATCCTTGAGTACGCCTACTAACATTACATGACTATTGCGATAAAATGTGTAATTAAAAAACTAGAACATTCAACATATGTAAATGACGTTAGCTTATTTGTGTAGGTACTTTTACTATAACAATTGGTCGAATAATAGTATGTACAGTAAAATAGTACAGATGAGTGATTTAATCATTGTAATAATATTCTATTTTATTTGTGTAATTTTAACAAATTATGCCATATTATAATAAAATAATATCTCATACGTAAACTTTTATAAGTATAAAATTATAAATAAAAAATCTTATAGAGCTTCCATTTTTTTTTTTTAATCTTTACAATATTTAGTTAATTTTTGTAAAATTGATTATCTTACCTCATTTTCCAATAACTATATAACGTAAGTAACTATTTTTTAAATCAAATTTATTAATAAATGTTATTTAAGTCAATTTTATATTCTAGTTACACTTTAAAACTAGAAGACTTTTTCGCAAGTGTTGTTTTATACAGGCAAGACTACATCGTAGCAGGTCGGTCGGGTACTGAAGTTGCGCACTTGTTTGTTCAAAAAAATCAATATTCGTTGACACGCTCGCACTTATGTGTTATATTAACGTGTTACACATAAAACGTGTTATTTTATTTTACAGTTGTATGATAAAAGAATATTGGAGATTAATTTACACGACTGAAAACTTTAAAGTATCTATTTATTTAATGTAAATTAAAATAAAATCACGATAATAAACGGATGTAAAAATATAAAAATATAAATTTGGTTTTTTGTATTTGTTTTTAACTTCAAAAGAAACCAGTGTCAACTTTCGATTTAATGAAATTAAAATAATACTATACTTAAAACATTAAATTTTAAATAGTATGTTAACACAGTTCGGCAAAATATTTGTCATAGAATGTTTATGAAATTTTTGTCATTATATAATTTTTTAACGCTGATATTAATTTTCCATAAAGCGTTTATATATATATATATATATATATTTATGTCTGTATCCTAGGTGGGTTTTTATAAAGTAATAAAAAAAGTTTTGTTTAAAATTCAAAGCAAATTTTATACTTATTTTCAAGTTATACATTAAATTACACATTTCAATTTATAGTAATCTATAATCACGATGTATTTACTGTCCGGTTTACCATGTTTTCTTATGAAATATAATAACTACAATAATATTTTCCACAATTGTTCAGCTCGTTTGATACCATACTATTGTAAACTTAACGCCTACAAATAATTCGAATAAATTTAATGAATCTCAACTTAATAATCGACTTATTTCGATCTGTTTCGTAATTGTAAATAGTACACTTCGAAATCAAATACAGTTACATCATAATATTAAAAACAAATTAATTATTTGCGAAACTGTAAGTGAAGGTTTATTCATTATGCTCACATTTAATTACTATGTAATACTATAATCATAATATATATTAAATTTACTATTAGCAGATTTATTTTTTAGTATTTACCATGATAATATATACATTAAAAGAACCCAATTTTAATCTGTTTAAACCTATCATCAACGAAATATGAAAAAATCCATTTACAAATTTAATAAATTACCTTAAAAATAATTTACCTTATATTAAATAAATTCATTAATGTTCAAAATTAATTTTCTATATTTTAACACTGCTTTTGTAGTAATTTACTAACCTATATTAAATTAAAGTTTTTTGTAATAAGCTACAATATAAATAAAAATGTCGTCCTAACAATTGTTCTATAAAAAATCATCTATAACAAAACAAAAAAAAATGGCAATTAAAAAAAACAATTGTCTATACAATATTTTTTAAGCTTTTAGTTTTTAATTTAATTTTGTTTAATTCAATGGTGCAATCAGATTTTATGGGTTTGAATTATTTATTAATGTATTAAAATATATTATATTAAAAAAATACTTTATTAATTTTTAATAAAAATTAGTCATATAATAATAGAACATATAATAAAAATGTATTAATATTTAACAACACCAATCATTAAAAGTCATCCTTACTGGAATAGTAATTGATTAAAAACTAAAATTGAAACTACTAAACAAATTTTATTTAATTACTCATAAATTAATTTAAAAAACTCAACCTAATTTCAGCAAACCACCCTCAATAAAAAAAACTTGTAGCATCCACAAATTAATTGAATTGTTTGGTAGAGAGATAGGTAGAAAAGTCATTTTTAGGCGGGTTACCCAAAATTTGTAACAGAATATGAGACCATAGCCCCAATCAGTGGCGTACACTGAAATTAAATTTGGGGGTGTTTTTTGAAATTTAAAGAAAATTAGATGTGACACGGCCCATATTGTTCGCTCACAAAAATGCCTTTTTTCGATTACTTTATTGTGGAAATATTTATAGTATGATATGATCTTTTTTATGGTTATTACTTATTGTTAATCGTCAAAAATTGTCACTTAGCTTATAAATTTGGGGGTTTACCCCCCCCCCGCGTATTTCAGTGAACCTAATAGATAATTTTTTTTTGATNTCCACCCCCCCCCCCGCGTATTTCAGTGAACCTAATAGATAATTTTTTTTTGATATACGTCCATGATTATAAAAATCAAGTACAAAGTGTTCGGCAAAAACGGAACTACGAAATAACGCGAATAAAATAAACGGCGCGACAGGAATAGATAATAGTTATTTAGGACGCCCAGTCTGACCGCTGACCAAGACAACACGTGCATCGGCGTAGTGTATCAGAAACACTATATTTAGAGTGGTGAATGATAATGTAGATTGAGGGAATTTCGCGTCAAATATTAAATTTTTTTTCTCTAAACTTACTATAATAATTGACTATATTTTTGGCTATAACTTCATTTATAATGCTCAAAACTGTCTGAAAAAAGCAGTGTTCTTTTCTACTTAAGATTTCTTAAGATATTGTTATATTTTAGAGTAATATAATTCTATTAGAAACTTTAGTAATTCAAAGTATAATAAAAAAAAAACCCAGCACAGGGGGGTCGCGACACAGTGGTGACGTAGCATAGTCAAGTATAATGATATCTGACAATTATTAAAATCATTATCAAAAAAATACGCTTCGATGCAAATCTTTAGATGGTGTTTAATTTTAAAAAATTGGTGGATTATTCCAAAAGCTACATGATCTGCTAGTTCGTTATTAATATCCTGATTCAGATAAAGTATATCGAATGAAAAAGGGATTATTAAAAATTATTATTTCTCATCAAAAAATTGTGTTGATCCATACACTTTTCAATAAGTTATAGCATTATAAAGTTAAAAATGTAAAAAATAAAATCGAGAATTTTCACACAAAAATAGTGTTTGGTAGCCATTTTCACCGTGAAGAAAAAATAAAATCCGAATTTTTTTTTTTTATAATAAATTGCATTACATTAGCTTTAATTTAAGATATATATAAAAGTGTCAAACCTTCCGGAACATTTTTAAAAGTTAAGTTGAAAAAGTTGTCATTTTAAATCCCCCCTTGTGGTGTAGTATAATTATTAACACATGTACTAAATATCACATATATATGAATAAAGCCATAAATCATCTAAGGAATGTTTCCCTTTTAGGGTAATAAAAATAACTATTTATCAACACATGTTTCAAACCAGTCCCCTACAATTCATTAACTACGCCCACGGCAGGGTTTTATCACAATTAACCAATCACAAATAATTATCCAACATCCTAGGAATTTCAATAGAGATCGCTGGCTTACTTCATCCGGCGTATAAAAAGCCATTTTTACTCGTAAAAAGGGCTGCTCCTGCTCTCATCTCTCTTCTTCTGGGACCTCTGACGACTTCGGACGACCTCTCTTCTAAATATTCTCTTACATGGAATCTGCGTCAGTATAAGTATAATAGTAGTAGTATAATATTTTATCCCTGTGACTTAGTTTTTTTTTATATATGTATCATCCTAAGTGGTGAACATTGTCTTAGATGATTTATTAATATTTTACACAGGAACAAGTTTTTATTTATTTTATCATCACCTAATGTCCTCACGACAAATAGACATTATATCTATTTATATATAAAGGTTTTAAATATTATTATGCCCTTCATTTCTGGACAGCCTCAAATGTGCCGAAAAGAGTGAAGAAGCGTAATTTTATTTATTTAGACATAGTTTGTAATATATAAGAATTTTAAATATTATTGTGCCCTTCATTTCTGGACAGCCTCAAATGTGCCGAAAAGAGTGAAGAAGCGTAATTTTATTTATACAGGCATAATAGCCTTATACATTATCGTATATTCATAATAAAGCTTATTGTGCCCTACATTTATGAACAGCCTTAAATGTGCCGAACTAAATGAAGAAGCATAATTTGTGATTAGAATTAACTAGTTTTAGTAGTAGTACTTTATGCCTGTGTACCCGCCAGCCTTAAAGGACTATGCCAATTACCTTTCGGTAACGTGTAGGCAGTTGAGGTACAGAGTAGTACTAACCTTATAAAAAGAGTATTTTTGAAGTGCGCTATATCCGTCGACAAGCCAGTTCTAGAGCTAGTAGTCCGGGTAGAGTTCATCATAAAATATATAGTCCGTAAGATAGGAAACTACATCTTGGAAATATTCTCTGCGTGTGTACCCGCCAGCCATAAAGGACTATGCCAATTACCTTTCGGTAACGTGTAGGCAGTTGACGTAAAGGATAGTAAAAGATGTATTGAAATAATATTTAAAATATATTAGCGAGGTAACTGTGTCCGCGCCAGCCAAGGCTTTACGCTGAGAAACGCTGGGCCACCACAGTCTTGTTAATTATATTTTGAATATAGATAGACATATTCTTATAATTATATTTTGACTAGTTCAGAGTAAATTTTAAGAATATCGATATCGACTGTAGGGAATTCATCGCAAATATTATTAGTAAAAACATAGTATAATATAATAGGAATTTAAAGAAAATAAATAAAAACAGGGGTAACAAATTATAATAGACGCAGGTCCCATTATAGAGAATCCTTTTTCTAAGTCTTATATACACAGAGATACTAATTTATCGAAATAAACGCAAACAGTATAAACGACAGTTAACACTGAAAGAAGAAATCACCATAAAACCAACTCAATCAATTACTAAAGGAAATAAAGGTAAGTGCGAATATTTATTTGCATGTCTTACTTATAAAAAAATCACGTAATAAACAAAAATAGGAATAAATGAGGTAGGGATATTTTATTATTTAATAAATAAATATAGTTAGACCCCGAGATCAAAATCAGAGTCCAAAAGTCAATTATTATTATTGTGTTATTGAAATGTAAAAAATACATTTTTTTTTAATAGTTGTAAAAAGGCTAAATATGGTAATGCATGAGTGAATTGCCAAATATAATTATTTGTTCATTTTTTTATCGAGGTCGTGCTTTGGGGGTTCAAGAATAGTAAGGTGTTTTTAATAATTTTCAATATAATATTATTGTGTTGATATGTTAAACTGTAAGAATATGGTTTTATGTATGTATAATAAAAGCATATGCCTTAAAATAGTATTGCTCCAAGGGTATGTAACACCGGCAACAGTTCAGTCGTCTTACTCCAAGGATTTCTTTGCCTAAAGTAGCGCCTGCAATAGCACAAACGCCTCACTACTAAAACATTTTAAATGTGAGGGTGCCGTGTATTTTTACGATGTGATAAATATGATTATTACAGTTGCAATAATGATTACTCATAAAATCTTATTATTTAAAAACTCTCAACACTCTTCTAGAAATTAAAATCTATTACAGGGATTAATAAAATTTACTCACCTTTCGTTGTTCTTATCTAAACCTTTGAAATAAATTTAGTTAGGTAGAAATAATCTGAACATCGAAATAAGAATTGCAAGTGTTATGAAACATGCAGAAGTCAAAATTGTTTTTTACTCACTTTCCACCTTGTAGTGCTAGATAGTTGAGTGACTAGCTAACTCCACTACTATGTGTCCATATTGTTCTATGTTATTATACTCTATCCAGTAACTACTTCACTACTGTGCTGATGTAATAAAAAGGAGAGAATAAAAGAAGAAAGCTTCTACTTTTGCTTTCTTTCATTATATAGTTTATAGTCCCCATCTCTTATTTAATGACAATCTGGAATGCTATACTGCCTTTTTAGACTGTTTTATTACTACCATTTTATTATTTATTACACGGTATTAATGACTTAGATAAAAAATAATGAAAAAATATATATTTTAATTACAAAGGATTTTTATGTTATCAGTTTAGTACATAATACAATTTTTGTGACAGTACTTTTCTTATAATTGACATTAATATATTTTAAGAGTATTGCGTAATCCACAAATGGTACAACCGCACAAGTGTACGCGATTATATATATATATATATATAATGAGTAATAGTTAAATCTTAATTAATATACTCCAATTTAAATCACTATCGTCACCGAGTTATTTCGTAATCCAAAAATGGTACAACCGCACAAGTGTACGCGACTATATATATATATATATAATGATTAATAGTTAAATATTAATTAATATACTCCAAGTTAAATCACTATTGTCATCGAGTTATTTCGTAATCCAATCAATAGAACACAGAGGATCACAAAAAACAGCACCAAAAATAACCCACCAGTCGAGGTGTACGTCGAAAACGGAACAGAACGCAATATCGGTAATCCATATTCGGCGGCGGCCTTATCTCAGTGTCAAGGGCGGGGTGACGACCGATGACAACCGATTGTCATATTAATAGCTGGACGGCTGATATCGAGAGAGACACGGGTGAGCGCCAGCCTAGAGCAAAAGGCGGTGCCGTGTCAAGAGTTATGTAAAAGTAATATGCATAAGTATTATAACAAAATTTACTAAGCTTTCTTAATAAAATTTCATAAAATTTTTTCATAAATTCTTTTGCTTTCTGTTATATTCTTAAAATTATTAAGATATTTATTTAAGATATTAAGATATTTAGGAATATTTACAAATATTTACAATCTCTTAATTCACAGAAACTATTTTTGTTATAATTTGTTTAACGTTTAGTCTTACATTAAGAAAGTAAATTTGGTTATTAGCTACGATACGAAAATAAAAAAGTATTAATTTTAATGTTTTTTTTTTTTTTTGTGTCTCACTACTTTTTCTAAAATATACGTCAAAGTCCTAAACCCAACCAAACCATACGTCCAAAAATCCTAATTAATTAAAGACATTACCCTCAAAAATTGAAAAATTTTCCTTCGTTCCCCTTAAATGGGGGAAATCTCCAAAAAAATTACAAATTTAAAAATCGATTATTTTCGAAATTTTTTTTACTTAAAATTGTCATAACTTTTTCAAAATTGAACAAATCAATAAAAATTTTGTTTTAATAGACGCATAATGTTTTTTTTTACCATTTGATGTATTTTTTTTATTATAATGACCCTTTATCTGCCCGCAGGGAGGGATTCAAAGTGACAACTTTTTCACAAAATTTCCGGAAATACTTACAATTTTATATATATCTTAAATTAAAGCTAATGTAATATACTTTATTATGGAAAAAAAAAATTCGGGCTTGATTTTATCTTTACGATTAAAATGAGTACCATATGCTATATTTGTGCTGAAATTCTCAATTTCATATTTTACATCTTAAACTTTATATAACGATAACTTTTTTAAAAAAGGATCAATACAATTTTTTTATAGAAATACTATTTATATATTTTTTTTATTCGACATAAATTTTTTTAAAACTTACCATTTCTCTTTATATAGGAATGTTACAAACTGAAGAATTCGTATAGAAAGTAGAACTTTTTCAACTTATTTTTAATTAAAATATATTTATTGATTATTCATACGTAACCTAATAATCAAACATAAATATTTGTTGTATTAATTAGAAGAACATTGTTATTATTTAAGCAATATGTGAAACTCTAATTGCAGATTTGAAATAGTTCTGTAATGGGTATAGAAAAGTATATTTTGGTCTCGAATGAAAATTCCTTGTAGTCCAGTAAATTAATTATAAATAACAAACATTTTTTTTTTAGTATTGCATCAAGACTTCAACCTTTATATACGTTTGTCATAAAAGTAATAACTACTTTATAATTTTTTATAATATCTCCATAAAAATTACAATACTGAATTATTAAATATCAATTTCATACTATATTTAATTGATATAATAAATATATATTCATCTATTACACTTATAAATCATAAAACTTGTAATCAGGATATAAATAAAGAAATAGGAGATCATGTCATTTATTACTTTCTGATCACTGTCATATTAAATCTATACCTAACTCAACTGTGCCATATCCCCACTGTAACATCATAACACATATAATCAGGATATAAATAAGGAAATAAATAAGGAAATAAGAGCATGTTGATTTTGAAATAATCCGCCAATTTTTTAAAATTAAACACTATCTATTGATTTGTATCGAAGCTTTTTTATGGTAGTGATTTTAATCACTGTTCGATTAAATCTATACCCAAATATGCCATGTCCCCGCTGTGCTGGGTTATTTTAAACATGATTATTTCATTTATATAGAAAATATAATATATTATGGACTACAAACATTCCTTGGAACTCTTAATTAGTTCATCAATTTTTGCTTTGACAAACTATAATAAAGTTTTTACTAGTTCTTACCAAAATAATTCCCATTTGTTATGAAAAATATAAAATATTGTTAGAATTATACGAATAAAATACTTCATGACGACTAAGAACCGTGGATATCTGAAAATTAAATTCCTATTCTTGTTCGGGTTCTGGTTAAGGAATCGTTTTTTAGGTTCGTTCCAGTCCCTGATTTATGTATAAGATTAATAATAATAATTATTTTGAATTATAACATTGATTTATTAATATTTATTTTCTAGTGCTGGTTTCTTTTAAAAATATAAGAACTAATTATAAACTAAATTTTTGAGAATACTTTCTATCTAAATATTTAATATTTAAAATAAAATAAAATATATGAAAATAAAATTATCAATGAAATAAAACAGAGTTTTGTTATAAAAACATTTGTAACTATAACACTTATTCATAAAATATTAAAATTATTTTTCTTATATTTTCAAGTAGTTTAGTTTCAGGAGAAATTGTATTATTAATAAAACAACTAAGTATTTGTTCATTGTATGCTGATTACTTCCTTTTGATAATGATTCAAAAAGTGCTAAAAAAATGTTCAAATATTTAAAATTTTAACAGTGTAAAATCAATATTATAAAAAATCACATTACCAATATCTTCATTTGATCTACTCCATCCAATTTTTTCTTCTTTGTTTTCATTTATTAGCCATTGTGTAAGTGGTTTAAAATATTCTATTAGTGGTTTGGCATCTAAAGCACTGGTTCTTCCGGCAGTAAGAATTTTAATAACTTGAGGCCATGGTTTTGAATATCCCAAAGACATAATTTCACTAAAATTTAATTATAATAAATCATTTCATAAATTATTAAATATTAATAAATTTTATTTATTAGTAGATATGCTATTTCCAATGGGCTTTATTAATCGACAACACCTAAAAATCAGATTTTCGAGTACTTTTTTAATTTTCATCTATCAGTAATTTTGAAAAATAATGGTACTGATAGCTTCAACATACACTTTGAGATCTTTAGATCTATCGTTGGGCCAAATTTGTCCAGTAGAAGAATCGTAATCGTGTAAACTATTTTTAGCTTCTCAGTTAAACTTGGAAGCTAAAAACAAATTATAAAATTCATTGTTTTAATATTTATTTTTGAAAATTCCAGCAATGGTCCATTATAGGTTTTGTCTAGCTAAATTATAACCCTCATATTGATTTAAAAGACACTAAAAAAATTTTCGATGATTGAATTGTGGATTCAATTTATTTTAATACATATGCTTCATTTAAATCGTTTGATGGAGAGCGCTATTAACGCCCTGTGGTTACAAATGTCATTGAGTATATTATGATGTACACATGATAGCTTTTCTCTAACTTCTTTGTATACCTACCCTCTTACCCACCCAACACAGCAAATTCACAAGTCAACTGCCCGCCGTGTACGGTTCACTCTTTATATTTTGCGTCACTATTTATATCAAACGTCTTCGCTTAACTGTTCAACTGCTTAAATATTGTGCATAATAATTATGTTATTTCTTTACTACAATTTTTTGCTTTAGCTCTTAGAGCACCATTCCCTTGTACAATCATATTAGTGATTAAATATCACTGAAGAACATTTATCGCTATAGTCACTTTTCCATCATCTGGTTTCGTCCGCTATTACATGTTCGACTCACGTCAGTTTTTTTTTATATAAACCTATTGTTGATATAAATATACATAGGTACATATATATTTTTAAATACTGCTCGATATACAGAGTGAAACGGATCTAACTGACAATTCATATAACTCATGATCTATCTACATAACAATTTATACTTTTTTTTTTAAATCAATTTTTACAATATAGAACTATATTTAAAATATGTATTATCTTATTTTTCGCAATTACAAAAAATATTTTAAAAATTAATTTCATTATTAAAACTTTTTTTAAGATTTTAAGATAACCATTTTATAGATAAGTTTTAAAGAAAAATTTTGATACCAAAAACTCTTATTTTAATTCAGTAGTTACGTTCATACAGCATTTTGAAATTTGTTAAATTTTTATTTTTTATACAATTTTCCTATGGTATCAAATGTCAGTCCATATTATGTAAAGTACAGAAGTAAACATTTATTACATTATTTACTGGTAACAGTACGCGATTTCTTTTCCATGGATAATAATTACGTTAAACGCGCTTTATACAGAAATGATTATCTCTAATCTTTATCACAAAAGTTAGAAACATTATTGTATGTTAACTATGAGTGTTTAAGGTTAACTGAGTGAAAAGTGATAACAATTATTAATTTGGGTGATTCTATCATTGTAATTATATTATTATAGGATTAAATTTATGATTTATGAACTTATTTAATTAAAAATTCAACATGTTTTAGACAATGTTTCTATAATTTTTTTTAATAACCTGAATTATACTACTAATTGTTTTTCAAGTCAATTACAAATGTTTATTCAAATCAGTGTTGCCAGATAGAGGGAAATTTCCCGTTTAGAGGGAAAATATGGGACCGTAATCAATTGGAGGGAAAAAGAGAAGAAATTTTAAAATTGTACTAAAAAAGGGAAACTTAGGAATTTCAGTTATTAATCGATATTTTTACTTTTATAAAAAAAATTATTTAAAAGTATACATGTTATTTTTTCACAAAAAAATGATCAATTTTTATTTTTGCATAGATAAATTAATTTTTATGTTAACAAATCCTATTGATAATACTATCTAAGAATATCACAATCGGTCCTTGGATCCTATCTACAACCGTTGAAACAATTATGAACATTAGGAATAAATCGATTTTACCTATCAATGTTGCAGTACCTGATATGATCACTATTGTCTATCAGCAAAAAAAAACTTATTAATGTTTTATTCTTAAGTCACAACTAGTTTTAACTTTTAAGTTATAAGTTATTATTATTTTCATAGATGTTTTATACTTAACATTTTCCATTATTTTAACCATGGATAATTTTGAAGAAAATTATGTATTTAATAGTACTCCACAAAAAAAAAAAAAATAAAGGACCAAAATGTTTTAATAATAATTGGATTAATTGCTCTGAATTTAAGGGATGGTTGGAATGTATTCCTAAAAATATTTTCAAAGCTCGTTGTTCTGCTTGCCAGGTAAATAAAAACAATAATATTCCTTATTTTATATAAGTAAGAGGAGTGAGGACTGTGGTCTTCAATCTAACTATTTTTAAATTTTTATTACTTTGAATATTTACATTCAAAGAGGCTACAATGGTATAATATGCAAAAAGTAGCGATTTATTTGAAAAATGTATTTTGAAACGATATGTTTATGAATTCTATAACATATATTTTTTTTAATATTATTAATTATGGGAATAACAATTGATAAAACCAATATTATTTAAGGATTTCATATTATAATAGTCAACTTACAATAGTCAATATACAAGAAATAAAAGAAAATTGAATTTACATTTATTTGAAATAAAAAATTTAAGGAGGGAATTTTTTTTAAAAACCGGGAAATTTTACAAGTTTGAGAGGGAATTAAGCTTTTTTTGGTCTGGCAACACTGATTCAAATGTTTATAATTTTCATGGAAAAGAAATCGCGTATTGTTACCAGTAAATAATACAATAAGTGTTTACTTCTGTACTTTATATAATATGGATTAACATTTGATACCATAGGAAAATTGTATAAAAAAATCAAAATTTAACAAATTTCAAATTGCTGTATGAACGTAACTACTGAATTAAAATAAGAGTTTTTAGTATCAAAATTTTTATTTAAAACTTATCTATCAAATGGCTATCATAAAATTAAAAAAAAAATTTTAATAAAAAAATTAATTTTTAAAATATTTTTTGTAATTGCGAAAAATAAGATAAACATATTTTAAATATAGTTCTATATTGTAAAAATTGACTAAAAAAAAAAAAGTATAAAATGTTCTGTTGATCATAAGTTATATGAGTTGTTAGTTAGATTCGTTTCACTCTTTATATATATATATTCATTTTTATATTAGTACTCAAATAGCAATAAGCGGCTGCTGCCACGTGTCTAACTGGAAATACTTGTGTCAATTATATTATTTCTTGTCAAATTCTTGTGTGTGTGTGCTTGTGTCTTTAACTGTACTTTGTGAATATGTTATAGACTTACGCTAAATATTACCTACGCTATGTTTTTTTATTTTGGTCATTGCCACTTCGCCGGTTATTAGTATTTAAGAGCCTCCCTATAACCATTAAACTTGAGATACTCATTGAAAAACCTTTGATAATTTGTTATTTAATTTTCTTTGTGTCATTTATTGGATATGCAGTTAGCTGGCATTGATATAGGTGATCCCTCTCATTCGCTCCTCTAGTGAGCGTAATCAGGCTTATGGCAAGACGGAAATCAAGTACGGTGCACAACTAACCATCTTACGGTCTATCTGCCCCGTGCAAAACGTGTAACAAATTTTCTTACGTAATATGTCTAAATAATTTCTGTTACAGGTTACTGATAGAGCTAGAGTCTAAAATTATAAAAAAAAATTAAATAATAGTACCTTAATAAACGACCAGCTTCTTTAGATCTGTAAATATCACATTTATGCAGAGGTCCTATGTGTCCGGCTGCAGTACATAATGCATTATGCATTTGAAATTGGAGAACAATACTTACAAAATATCTATTTATTGAAATACATTTTTTTAGATTCAGTAGTTTTCAAAAAAAGTGTTAAATCGGTTGTACTAACTTTATGTATGGAGTATCAGCAATTATATGATACTTTGAACTTGGATCAAAGTTTGTTTCGTCTCTTGGTACTGGTGGAATAATACCTTGGTATAACAATTTTAAATCCCACCATCTCGCATTTAAGCTATTTGTTCCTTTAGAAAAAACACTCCATCGCCACTATAGAAGTATAGTTATATGGTATAAACAAACATTTTGAAAACATTAAAATATAATTTAGAATATGATTTTAATTCTTACTAAGTCAACTGAATACGCGAATGGTAAATATGCTATCTTATCTAATGCTATTTCTATTAAAAAGTTTATTTGTGCTTCTATCAAAAAATAAAAGAAAGTTCAACATCTGATATTTAAAAAGAAATAAATATATTTATATGATTTTTTAAATTACCGAAATCATCTGTAATATTATTTAAAAGTCCTATTCTGTATAAATGACGAGGATTTGATACTGAAAGAACAATGGTATCACTCAGAGCTTCATGAAATCCTTATTTAACATAATAAAATCATTATATCAATTAATTATTGAAATAGCCAAACAAAAAATTAAATATATTTTCTTTTATATTGTAATGTAAGAAGGGTTTTACAACCATAACTCGAGGATTCTTGATTTAATTAATCTATTGGTGAAATAAATTCATACTAAAATTAAGTTTGGGCTAGCAGGAAATCGTTTAGCAAAGCGAGTTTGTTATTTTTTATTTTTGTCAAGGTACGTTTTATTATTAACTTATTTTTGNTAAAATAATTTTATTTTCAAGGGGTTTTATTTACAATCTATTGATGTAAACTAAAAAAATTTTTTTCATTGAAATTTTTAGAAAATTTTTAAAAATGGTTATTTTAAAATATGGGTTTCTATCTTAAAAAATATTTATAATAATACAAATATTTTATTTTATAATAATATAAAATATCTAGTATTTTTTAACAATTTTCACTATAACTAATGGTATTATTGTATCATAGTTATCAGACTTATTTTGAAATTTAAATTGCATATAAATATTCAATGTTTACTAGTTAACATAAGCTAAAATAGGGAAGGTATGTTGATAAACGGTGAAATACAAAGATTAAAAATAAGAAAATTTATTTTTTCACAAAATAAATCACGCATACTACCACATTCTTACTATTATAAAAGCCATTTGTTATTCCCTTATACATGTTAGCATAAGTGAAATAGAATTAATTTTTCAAACACAAAAATATGGGACAAATAAATAATTTTAATAAAAGTCTGGTAGTTTCATTTAAGAGAGAATTTTAGTTAGTTCAAAATTTATCCGGTTAAACAATACAATAATGCGTTAATTTATTTTGTTACAGATGCCTTATTCGTTTTTTAAGACTAGCTAAAAGAACAAACAAAACAAGATAAACTAATCGAGCTTATAAATTTAATAAATTTATGTATGGGTCATGTTGCTTGCTGACGATGTAATGTTAATAAGAGAGAATAGTAAGGAAATTAATCAAAGGCTATATGTGTGGAGATCAGCTCTTGAAGAAAAAGGTTTAAGAATAAGTAAAACTGAGACAGAGAATATAGAGTACGAGTTTAAGAAAGGAGAACACGAGGTAGGTGAAATGAAGAGTTTAGTGACAATAGGCGAGGATGTGATTGGAGAGGTGTCAAGTTTTAAGCCAGTTGTGCAAAAAAGCGGTGGTATTGACGAGGATGTAAGATACAGAATTAAGTGCGGGTGGTTGAAGTGGAGAGAAGTGTTTGGTATTATGCGATAAAAGAATTCTAATGAGGCTCAAAGGTAAATTCTACAAGACTGTAGTAAGACCAGTAAGGTTCAGAGTGTTGGGAGGTTGATAAGAAAGTAGAGCAGAGAATGAGTATAGCTTAGATGAGTATGCTTAGATAGAGGAGTGGAGTGACTAGAGAAGATAGGACAAGGAACGAGCATATAAGAGGGAGTATAGGCGTAGCGTCAATCGTGGATAAGATGAGAGAAAATTGACTTAAATGGTTTGGTCATGTTATGAGGAGAGAAGAATCGGAAGCCAAACCAAATCGTAAGAACAGCTGTAGGAATGAATGTTGAAAGATGAAGAGGTAGAGGAAGTCCAAAAAAGAGACGGAGGAATGCTATTGAATGCGATATGAGGACAGCTGATTTGAGCATAGATGATGTGGGAGATTGTGTCAAGTGGAAGTTTTTGATAAGGGTGGCCGATCCCAAGTAGTTGGGATTAAGGCGAAGTAGAAGATATATGAGTTAAAATGTCTTTCAACGAATTGTGATCTTGATACATTGAAAAAATCATTATTTAACTCGTCTCTACTGGTACAATGTCACCATCGACAAGGTGATTATTAATGAAATATTATTAAGTGATAAAGTTACTAGGGATGTATGGGAGTATTTTTCAGTCGGGTTTTTAGTATATTTTAGTGCTTATAATATTAAAGTCGTTTCTAAAAGTCATATAAGCGAATTTTAATAATGTAGTATGTGTATATCAAAAAGTGAGTTCTTGAAAAATGTTATTTAAAAATAAACAAAATGGTAACACAGTGGGATCGTTGCTCAGTATGGACGTGACATAGTTGGGACAAGTATAGATGATATCTGACAGAGATCAAAATCACTACCATAAGAAATGCTTTGATGCAAATCTATAAATAATGTTTAATTCTAAGAAACTGGTGGATTATTCCAAGAGCAAAATGATTTAAAAATGTATGATTTATAAGTGTAATATATGAATAAATATTTATTTTATTAACTAAACATAGTATGAAAATTGCTTCTTTGTACATTCGTTTGTCAAAATGAGCTTATTTGTTCAGTATTATTTGATGTTGTTGTCCATAGTGTTCATGATTACTGTAGCATTCTCTTAAAAATACTGAACAAAGAAGCACATTATGGCAAACGGTTCTTTGCCATAATGAAAGAAGCAATTAAAAACTAAAAATGTCCAGAAAAGTGAAAACAAAAAAATGGATGGACTATTAACAAGACTTAGTTACCTATTATACACTAGACACTAGACAAAAAGAAAAATAACATACAGCAAAGAAAATATCTTAATGTGTGACAAAACTACAACAGAAAAAAAACATAATAGAAAATTGCCAGAGTAGTTAAGGTTGGTTTGGGTTTAAAGAGCTAAATGTCAAGAATGCTGTAATGACAAAAAAAGTTATGATACACACAAAAAAAAGGTAGCACAGTGTGGCAGTTATTAAAATCATAATCATAAAAATGCTTCGATGCAAATCTGTAGATAGTGTGTAACTTTAACAAAATTGGTGGATTATTGAAGAGCAAAATTTTAACTCAAAAAGAATTAAGAAAAAATTGCAAAAAATCATTGTCACAGGCAATGATAACCATGTTCACTATATGTTGAATTTTTTTTTCATAGTATATTATATTACATAAGCTTTAATTTAAGATCAAATGAAAGTATCAATATTTCCGGAAAATTTTCATAAATTGAGTTGAAAAAAATTAACTAATTAAATCTGAAATTGTAAATTTATCACCAAAATTGCATATTTTTTAACTACGGAAATCATTTTCACATAGAAGATAAGTCGTTAGAACAATTTTTTTTTTTTAATTTATAGTACATAACATTAGCTTCATTTTAATGTATGTTTGAAGCTCGAAGTATTTTCCGAAACATTTTCAAAATTTATGTTATATTAAAAGAAATCGTGTACGGTTACCAGTAAATAATGTAATAAATGTTTACTTCTGTACTTTACATAATATGGACTAGCATTTGATACCATAGGAAAATTGTATAAAAAATCAAAATTTAACAAATTTCAAAATGCTGTATGAACGTAACTACTGAATTAAAATAAGAGTTTTTAGTATCAAAATTTTTATTTAAAACTTATCTATCAAATGGCTATCTTAAAATTAAAAAAAAAATTTTAATAAAAAAATTTATTTTTAAAATATTTTTTGTAATTGCGAAAAATAAGATAAACATATTTTAAATATAGTTCTATATTGTAAAAATTGATTAAAAAAAAAAAAGTATAAATTGTTATATAGATAGATCATGAGTTATATGAATTGTCAGTTAGATCCGTTCCATTCTGTATAATTAAAAATATTTTGCTGTTGTAATTATCCACCAATTTCTTAGAATTAAACATTATCTACAGATTTATCGAAGCGTTTCTAATGATAGTGATTTTAATCACTGTCAGATTAAATCAATATTTGACCCAACTATGCCACGTCTCCATTGTGCTGGGTATTTTATACGTTTAATTTTATAAGTTTTTGTCGAATATGTTTACAAACTTAAGTGGAGTACATTGGATCCATTATATTCGTTAATTTCATAATATATTTTTTCTAAAACTTTTTTTTTTTTTATTTTACTCTTAATTACTTTTTTTACTTATTTGCTTTTTCCTTTATTTTTTATTCATGTTAGTTTACAAATACTAAATTACTAATTAAGCTACGAGGTAAGTTAACAATAAAAGCAAAACGCATAATAACTTTGTTCTTGACCACAACTTCATTTTGATATTGAGTTTTATATTCAATTATTATATTTAATTATTAAAATACATTTTTAATATAGAATTTGTGATATATCTATATATATAAATCCTAATATGCATAGCCATAGATTCATTTTAAAGTTTGTATTTATGAGAAATAAAATACATTTCAATTTTAAAAGAAAAATATTTGAAAGAGAATAATTTTTGTATTTATCTTTATTTTTTTCTACCTCTTTATGCAACCTCCATCAAGCTTAATCAATCAATCTTTTTCATATCAAAATGAGGATTAAAATATGTTTGTCCTCAAAAAGACCAACTATCAGTGAAGAGTGCATTCAAAATAATGATAACTTGTGCTCATATATAAATAAATTACTACAGTAAGTTTTTATTTATGTATTATACTTATAAAACACAAAACTTGTATTCGAGATATAAATAAAAAAACGGTAGCATAGTGGGGTCGTGGCACAGTATGGACGTGGCATAGTTGGGACAAATATAAATGATATCTTACAGTGATTAAATTCACTATCATAAAAAACGCTTTGATGCAAAATCTGTAGAAAGTGTTTAATTTTAAGAAATCGATAGATTATTTCAAAACCAACAATAACTCTTATTCTCTTAAATTTATCCCGATTAGTTATTTGATTTATAATTATAATATATGAATAAATAACAATTATAGTAATTAAATTTAGTATGAAATTGATAATCAATAATTTAATATTATATAACATTGGATACGATAACATGGGATAAGTAACTGTTTCATTGATAAATTAGACTTTTTTTTAAATTTTTGAGGGTAATATTTTCAATATGATACGAATTGTAATCATTTGACGTATCGTTGAAAAAAGTAGGTCAAGTTAGAGCAGAGAATATAAATGATTATCACAAAACATTACCTTCTCAACTTTGCATCGAAGCTTAAACTTAAAATATTGTAAAATAATTTTAATATGAATTTTTTT